TGAACATGAGTTTTATGCAAACATTCTTGTTAAAAATCTGAAGAAATTGGAGCACTCCCAACACAGGTAACTTCTACTTCTCAATCTCTCACTTTTATTTGGGATTTGTCATCACTGGGAATCACAATTCTATATTCAGAATCTCCCATTTCTGAAGAACTAGGCAATGTGTATTAATCCTGTCCTAAGTTTAGAACACAATACTTCACATTTTTACCATCATTTTCCTCATTGAATCCCCACAGGTGCCTGAGGTAGATATTGTCATCTTCATTCTACATGAGGGAGCAGAGGGTCAGAAGATTCAGGCAGCCCAGAAATCACAGGGCTTGCATCTGGATCCAGAATCTGGACTGTGGGCTTCATGCCACTTTCTCCTTAGCAAAATGCCACCAGTTGGTCTGTAGCACTTTCAAGGGCAGCTTTCCTGCCCCGCAGTGCACGTCTCTAACCATACACATACTCTACAATCATTTATTTATTTTTTATTATTAGTTTTTTTGAGGCGGAGTTTCACTTGTTGCCCAGGCTGGAGTGCAATGGCACAATCTCAGCTCCTGGAGTGCAATGGCACCATCTCGGCTCACCGCAACCTCCGCCTCCTGGGTTCAAGCGATTCTCCTTCCTCAGCCTCCCAAGTAGCTGGAATTACAGGCATGCGCCACCACGCATGGCTAACTTTGTATTTACTAAAGATGGAGTTTCACCATGTTGGTCAGGCTGGCCTCAAACTCCCAACCTCAGGTGATCCACCCATCTCAGCCTCCCAAAGTGCTGGGATTACAGGCATGAGCCACCGCGCCTGGCCTCAACAATCATTTATTATGGTCCAGCAACATTCACAGATTTGGGGCCTGAAAGAGGAAGATGACATGCTTCCTGCACTCCCAGGTCTCCAAGCAGAAAAGACAGCGAGGTGCTCTTCCAGCAAAACGGACAGCATGCAGTGGCAGCCCAGGGAGCCCCAGGCAGGTCTGGGAAGGCACCGCCAAGCTGAGAAGGGGGACTGAGGGACAATAAAAGGAGGGCGACAGGCGCTGCAGGCAGGAGGAACAATGGGACCCTGCGCCCAAGAAGGCTGGGCAGGGTCTGTGTAAATAGTGGTGACCATGGTAGCAGGAGCCAGCCAGGGAGGGGTCTCGAATGTCACTCGGGAGCTGGGAAAACTCTTGCCACTTCCCCATCACTCATCACAGGGGTCATGAAAGACTTCCACTATTGTAATATGGAGCAATCAAATTTTGTTGAGAGAAATTTCAACCCCCACAAGAGGAAGCGAAAAAGGAAATGGTCCCTGTGCACCTAATTCTGACCAGTTGATACCAGGTGGCTGACATGGACGTGACTGGGAGCCTGGAGGTCATTGAGGCTCTCGCATGCTCTGAGACTCTGGTTTCTGAGGTGCTCACGCTGCTGAGACATTCAGGAGATGGGGAGGGGCCCCACTTCTACAGATGAGGAAATAAGCTCAGGCAGGCACTGTGCCCCAGGAGATATCATGTAAGTGGCAGTCAATATGACCAGGAGAGCCAGAGCAACTGAGGTCAGGACATTTCAGTGACAATGGGTCCCTGGCGAGGGCAGGTGGCCTGTTTCAAGGGAGCCTGGTCTGGCTGCAGCGGTGTGTGAAGAGACTGAGAAGACTCCAGGTATAAAGGCAGAGCGCGATGACAACATGCCCTGAGAGCTGCCCTGGAGAAATGCACTGCAGCGGGTTGGAAGTGGGGTCCCTCCGAGTGATGGGAACATGAATGATGGTGCATGTGGAATGGATGCAAAAGTGGGAGAAACTGGAGAACGGGGACCTTCCCATGGAGCTGTTGCTTTGAGCCTGGACACAGTAATGAGAAGGAGAGTGACGGGGTGAGTGGAAGGCGAGTGCAGGAGAGGGACTTCAGGGAAGAATTAATGAACTCGTGGACTAGGGCTTCCTGCCAACAGGAACAACTGGCCCATCCCTGAGCCAAAACCCAGAACTTACATGGACCTGAGGATGGTATCAAAAGTGAGATTTCTAGGATACATATACAACAAAAGAAAAAATAAAAACTGGACATCATCAAAATTAAAAGCTTTAGTATTTCAAAGGACATCATCAAGGAAATGAAACAGTTCACAGAGAAAAATTTTATAATCATATACCAGTTAAAGGAACTTGTGCTAGGCTATAAAGGGACTGTTACAACTCAATAATAAAAAGACAAATAACCCAATTAAAAAAGGAGCAAGTGATCTAAAGATAGTTGTCCTAAGAACATATGCAAATGGCCAATAAGCTCATGAAAAGATGCTCAATATCATTCGCCATCAGGGAAATGCAAACCAAAATCACAATGAGATGCCACATCACCCCTACTAGGACGGCTAAAGATGGATAATAAAAAGCACTGAGGCATGTGGAGTAATCAGAACCCTCATGCCCTGTTAACGGGATATAAAATTGTGTCGCCACGCTGGAAAACAGCTTGGGAGTCCCTCAAGGGTTAAACAGTTTCCACATGATCCAGCAAATCTGCTCCCAGGCAGATACCAAAGAGAAATGAAAACATATGTCCACACAAAAACTTGTACACAAGTGTTCCTAGCAGCATTATGTATAATAGTCAAGAAGTAGAAACAACCCAAATGTCCACCAATCGATGCATGATAAATAAAATGTAGTACTATCATTCCATACAATGGAATATTGGCCGACGAAAAAATAAAGTTGAACACATGCTACAACGTGGATGAACTTTGCTTATAAGAACGTTGAAAAGAAAACGCCAAAAGAAAAATGAGTTTTAGCTCAAATATCATTTTTTAAGAGGCCTAGCCTGCTCAAGTTATCCTGTTTAAAAAACAAAAAAACAAAAAACTCTTCCCCTATCTAGAGTGAAAATAAAAAACATTTTTAAAATTTTAATATAACGAATGAAGTAATTTCAGGTCAAGTTTATTATATAGAAATTATATTAATGGGTGTGATAAATACTTTATAGGAGTGTCACACTCTCAGACACTTTGGCTCCCAAAGGGCTTGGAGTTTTTGTGAGGCTGAGCATCTTCCAACCAGGTGCATGCGCTGGCTTGCCAACATCCTCACCACACCCAACCCAGCCCCTTCACACACTGGCATTGCCTACCTGGGCCCTCCTTGTGGCTGTAAATTTTATGTAACCAGTGTACACAATATACTTATAACCAACTAATAGGCATGAGTCATGATTTGTTTAAAATGTCAGTTTTTGTGAACTGGAGGGGATGGGCAGAAAGTGGGATGCTGAGTCCTTGGTCAGGAATGTGACCCAGATTTTAACACTGCTCCTAGGAAAAAAAATATTTCCTTTTATGATGCCACTTCCTGGGACATAGTGAGTTGACGATTAAAAACTCTCTTCAGAGATGTGGGAGAAAAAACAAGCCTAGGGAAAAGTCTGCAGGCACGGTGGAGGAAGCAATTCAGGATGAAATCGCAAGTGGTAGAGCAAGCATGACCAGGCTGAAGTCAGCAGACTGAAGAGGGCAGCGAGGCCCAGTCTCCTCTTCCCTCTCCCACAGCGTTTAGGGCCACGTCCACGGCGCCACCCCTCTCCTTTCTTCCCAACCGAAAAGGGTGCCCTCTTTCCTTCCTTTCTGCAGACGCTGATGAGAATTAACCAGAGGAATTTCCTCCACAGCGACTATAGCAGGATGTCCTCATCCAGTCCTCCTATCTCATTTCCAGGTGGGGAAACGGGCCTGGCAAGGAAATAGGCCAAAACCACGATTTTAAATGTTGTGTTTAAGTGCTCTGGAACCCTGGGTTCAGAAGAAACTGTGCAAGAACAGATCAATCAGAGCTGATCTGATGGGGACGGGGTATACAGCTGTATTAACCATGGGGATGGTTAATACAGAGGCCCTGCATTAACTGTATTTCCTGTACTCTTGATGCTCTGATATCTGGGGCCTCGCTGACCTGGACAGACTGCTCCTCCCAGGCTAGCCAATCCCCTAATCCCTGGAGATAGCAAGCATCCGGCTGAGCACACACCTTTCCTACGGAAACCAACTAATCCAGAGCGATGGCGCCAGCTGCCTCCTTCACATGGCTCTCCCAGGGCTGTCACACCCCAGGCCAACATTCACCTGTCCTGACTATCCTGGGGCCAGGTATCAGACAAAAAGACCAGCCCCTACGCTGAGAGCCACTGAAATTACTCAAGTCAGCTACCCCTAAACCTGTCTCCCCTGCTTACTCTGCCTTGCCCACTTCCTCCTGAGAAA